GTCCGTGACGTCTGTCGGCGTGCTGGTGGGCTGGCTGGCCGAGTAAGCAGCAGTCTTGGCAGCGCTGTATTCCTTTTGGCTTTGGGACACCTGTTTCAGGCTCTCGGCTAAGGCTGCCTCAATCTGCTCCTGACAGGCTTTCAGGCAGTCCTGCGGGAGAGGGAGCAAGACAAGAGGCCTCAGTTCTCGGCTGCTCAGAGGTGGGAGCCTTATAAATAGCTCTGAGCAGCTGCTGGGCTCCATCTCTGGCCCCTGGAGCATCTAAACACACAAGACAAAGCAGCCTTTCTCCGACAAGGGAGATCTCCAGCTCTCTGCTTTAGGCCCATCCCCAGGAGAAGCCCCACGCTCTGGTTGTCTTCTCCCCACCTCCTCGCTCGACCATGTTGTTGAGGAACGGACATCGTGCCCGTTGGAGCTCGTGCCTGGATGCAGCGTGTGATCTCAGCATCGCGGCAGTCAACTGCCGCTGACGACCGAAGGAGTAGAGCAGAACAGCTCTGCGCAGGCTGGTATCAACCTTTACAACCCAAACCTCCCAGATCCGCGAGCGATGGCCGGCGTGCAGCAGCACGGGTGTGTGGGGACCGTGGAGCCCCCCCCAGCCCAGGTCTCCCGGAGCTCGGCATGGTCCTGCATCTTCACAGTGAGCCACCCGCTGCAGAGACGCTGCACACAGCTCTGCCTCCTCCTGTCCCTGCCCGTGTCCCAGCCAGGACAAAGCGAATTGCCGATGCACGCTGCAGCACTTTGGGGATCTCCGAGGCAGCTGGACCCAACCCTCCCAGCCCCAGCCGCCACGTGTTCCCTACAATGCTACGCACCATCGACGCTGGGTCATTACGAGACCGATGCTGCGGCCACGTAGCTTCTCACAAGGCTTTTACCCTCCTGCTGTCCCCCCAGGGAGTCCCGTGGGATTCACCTGCACCTCCCCGGGGCCCAGGAAGCGCAGCGCTGGGGACACACCAGCCCCACAAACAGGAAGGTGCAGGGGACTGCAAGCAGCAGCATATCGCTTGTAATAAAAGCAACCCCCCCCACCACCCTCCGTTTTCTCCCCACACAAGCTGAAAAGAGAGAAGGAAACTCCTCTGCTTTGACACCAGAGCACCACGGTGCACCAAGAGCCACGGGAGGCATCGCCGTCAGGCGCACCCCAGCCTGGCTCCCGCAAGAGCCGAGGGGTAAGAGGTGGCATTTCGCACCTTGGGGCCGGAGCCGAGCTGGATGCCGCGGGGCCACACGCTCACTGGATATTGTCACACCCCGAAATCTCTTACCAGGAATCCACCGCCGGTTCTTAGAAACTGACAGAGGATGTGGCGAGCAAAAATAGCAACGCCCACCTCCCCTTCCCCACGCCGCTTCCCGTCAGCGCGGGGCCTCCAGCGCGCCCGCAGCCCCGAGGCGAGCTCACTGCAGGGCCTTGTGCCGTGGCCAGCCCGTCCCTGGGCTCTCCACAACTGGGCTCTCCATTGGCAGTTTCGGCAGAGATGCTAAAAGGTGGCTTGGCCAGAGGCAGGCCGGGTCCTTTGCTGGCT